TTTTAAATTGTATACATCACTTTATAATTACACCCTGAGTATATCTGTTATTGTTGTTTAAAAATCCTTCTTGTTTTCTAAATGCATCATTAAAAAATCAAGAAATAATGTTCTCTAATTAATCAAAATGTATGTGACCTACTTTCAAAACAATTCTCTTGAATAAAAAAAGAAAATAATAATTAACTCTCAAATCAATACCAAAAACCATTTTTCAGTAAGATTTCCTATCCAATCTGATCCACATATACACATAAAACAATTTTGTTTGTTATCAATCACCTTTTTTTTAAAAAATTTTTTTTATGGTTGGCTTGGTCTAAAGACCTCCCATTACTGCGCCACGCGCTCAAATTTCAAAAAATTGCGATTTCGTGATTCAGGTTGATCTTTAATATTAAAGCATTCGGACCAAACCCGCCCGAACCCGACCCGTTCGTAGCTTCAATAAAGCAAAAGGTCATGGGAAGACGTGCTGATTTTCTTATCTGATTATCTCACTAAACTTGTGAAGAGAGAGGTAAACACCAAAAATTATGAAAGACATTTTGATAATATTTACATAGCTGTGGAAAAGATAAGAAAACTCCAACCAATAGGATTTGTACATGCTAATATGTATGTTGAACAATTGTTTTTTGTATTATTAGTTGATATTAATAACTAGATTCCACCGATCCTACGTACCTAATTTTCATTGAATACAACTATTACTATTACAGTAGTTAAAAATTTGTGATCTACATGTTAGGTTTTAAAAAAACCACCCACCCACCATTCAATTCAGCTTTAAAAAGGGAGTCAAGTCAATTTTCAAATATTTTTTAAATTTGAATTATGTCCACCATTCGTACTTGAAAATTAAGGTTTAAATCATTTATTAAATATTATCTAATATTTGTAATTGTAACAAATGAAATGTTTGAAATGATTATATTTGAAATAAATAATACGAATATCACTAATATCTGGAATAATGAATATCCAAAATAATTATGAAATATCCAAAATATTCAAATAGTCATAAAATAAATTATATATATTCAAATTGATTTTCAATATTCGTAAAAATTTAATTAGGAGTTGTTATTATTATTATCATCATCATCGAAAAAAATGTTAACCGAAGAAGTTTTTTTTTAAGGAAAGGAAGGAAGAAAATAAAGGGAATAGGATAATTTATTTCTTTAATTGCAAAAGTATTTATGGTCATAATTTATATTTGTCCTCTCGTGACCTCAAATATTTACTTTTAAAATTTAATATTTAATAAACTTTTTTTCTATAATAAAATTGTATCAAAACCTTCAAACAAAACATGAAATTAAGGAATATTATATATAGTAAATAGATGATAAAGATACTAAAAAATCCCCACATATAATTTGTTATTGCATATGTTTGATGATCAACAGCCATAGAAACACCACATCGCAAGAAAAAAATAATAACGATAGGCCGATACAGGTTGGTGTGATTAGAATAAAAACCATACTTGGCATTGAAAATCTTGCTAATTAAAAAAAAATTTATTTTCAATTCTTTTGGCATGTCTAACGTGCCATAATATCCAGGTACAAGATCAATGCAAACATAATAACCAATATTTATAAAACACTTTCAATTAATTTAGTGGATCATATCGTTTTTCAAATTATTATTTATTAAAAAAAAAGTGATTCTCCTTTTCAATTATATAAAAATAGCAATATTGGAAATGTTTCTCGTTTATTTTTTTAATGTCGTCCATTACGTTTCCTACTGTTCATCATACATTTTTTTCAGTTATTTATGAGGAGGTGCAAATAATGTATAATAATAATAATAATAATATGATGTGTGTGTGTATATATATATATATATAGAAAGATTATTTGTCATGTAGAATTCATCTAAGTTCTACCATCTTTTAAAGTAAATTAAAAAAAAAAAATAATTTCTACTCACTAGTAAAATTATTTATAATTATTTAATAAAGTAAGTTTGATATCATACCTTTTTCCTGTTCTACCACCTTTAAAATTTTCATCATGATATTCCATGCTATATATTGATCAGAAAATAAAATCAGTATTATCTGCTCCCTTTGGGCCTAATTTAACTTCTTTCTTTAATCTTTCCACTTCTTTTTCATATTCTTCCTTCTTTTTCATATTTTCTGTAGCATCATCACGAATTTTAATAATTTTTGCATCAATTGATTTTAGAATTTCTTCGGATGTGTGAGACCTTTAAAATATATATATATAAAATAAATATATATATGTACATATGCATGTGTTTGTTCGCATCAGATATATGCACCTATGAATGTTTATGAATAATTACCAGGCATTTAAAACTTGTAACATATGATCTATTTGCCCTGGGCGTAAGTCTCTTCCCATTGTATACTCAACCTCAAGTTGCTTTCTTTTCTGATCTAATTTACCTTTAATAACATCTTGATATATTGCATCGATAATCAAATCCTCGAGTTCTCGAACATTAGGTATATCAAAGTATTTTAATAATGTATCATATGGAATTGTCTATTGTAAATAATTGAAGGTTTGTTAATCATACTTTTATAAATTCCCAACATTAATAAACATATGATTGCTAACTTGTGCTTCTTCGGATAAAGATACAATTGACAGATGTTTAAGTTTGTTTAATTGTGCATCATCCAATGGTGGTAATGTTTCAACATTATCTAATATATGAAATTTCCAATTTAATTAAGGTATTCTTTCTTCTTTCAATAATATGTGTATATACACATTTTTACCTTTGTAATCTTTATAAGTTCCATATGAGAAAAGCCTTAACAATGTGTGATAGGGTTGGTATTGTTCATTGTTTCGAAGCTATTAAACATAGACAGGAAAAGTCTGTTAAATTTATTGTGAAATCCAATTGCCTAGAATCCTATTTCATGGAAAGTTATTTGGATCACCAATAAATTTCTCTTCCCCAAGTTTGTGATGATGATTTTTTTAATTTAATTGGTTAATTTTATTTATTAAATCTACTATCTTTTCAAGAGACGGAACTTTTCATACCTTTGCTATATTTGGCATGTCTAACAGTTCTGCAAATACATAAACACCTGGAGCTCCTAAAGCATCTTTGATCAGTTGTACACATGCGCTGCCCTTGGCAGACTTGGAAAGTAAAAGAAATGATTCTAAGCGTTGACGAGCTGAAGAGCCTAAAACAGATTCCGACATTATTTATGAAGAATTATTGCACTTTTAGATCATGTGATAAGATCAATTTTCAATTTTGATATTTTTTTTTTTTTTGAAATTAAAATATTCCATCTATGGTTATTTAATTTCTACATCGATTTTATAATTGAATTAATGTAAAGAAATTGAATTTATTTAATTTATTTATAAAGTTATAACAAAGTTCAAAAATGGGTAAATATAATTTTAATTTTCTATTCTTGCAATCCTTCCTTATTTTTTTTTCCTAATTGAATGGATAATATAAATTTTTAGCTAAAAGTAAAAATCACACCAACCATAACCAAAGTATGTATTATATTCATCCTAAAGCAGCATTTCTCCCAAATATATTATAACATTCTAAACATTCTTTTGTTGTATAGATCGTAAAGCTCACCGTAATGGTATTAAGAAACCAAAGACATATCGTTATCCTTCTTTAAAAGGAGTTAGTAAATTATATATAAATTATATTAATAATATATAGGTATAGATATTTTATTCGTAAGCTATATAACTATCGTTCTTTTATTTTAGGTTGATCCTAAATTTATTCGCAATCAACGATTTGCAAAGAAGGTATTATTGTGGATTTTCTTTATCATATATAATCACTTTAATTAATTAGTTTTTTAATCTTTCAATATATCTTTTATTTTTATCTAAAGGGAAATATTGCTGCCTTAAAGAGTCGGCAACAATAACATCAAATCAAAAAAATTTACTAGGGAAGAGATTTGGGCGAACAACAAGAAGCTGGAAATTGAAATTGAAAAATTATTGAACATTAAAAAAAAATAAAAGAAACAACAATGTAAATTCATATAAAGAAAAAAAAATCAATATTGTATATTTTATATAAATTTTCTAGTTTGCTTTAATCTCAAAAATAAAGATTAATGTGAGCTGTGAATAGTATAAATCAAGTGACACGTTGCCGATCAATCCAAAAAATTTTTATTTAATTTGATCTCTTATACAATGAGAAACTAGCCAACATAGAGCTAGGTAATTCCCAAAGGTGGACATGGTGAAGATCATATATTGACAGTAGCCCCTTCAATTGTTTTCAAATCCAAGAATTTGTTTGGATGATGATGACCTTTTTTTTAATCCATATTTTTAAACCAAAGAGGAAGTGATTATGAATTCATTGTCGTCATATTTATGTATGGTAATTCCAGTCAAAACAGAGGTGCCAGAGTAGAGCTATCAACATGGATATCTGAATATTTATCCATTTAAACCATAGCAATCCAGATATCCTATACATTTAAATTATTTCATCAATTATTTTTGTATCTTTAACCAATCATTTATTAGAGAAGTATTAATAAATCTCATATAGTTTGCTTGGTCTAAAGACCTCCTAAATTTTGGGCAAATTTTAAAAGTATAAAAGTCATTTTCTGTCCTACCTTTTAAAAAAATAGCCTCATTAGTTGGTAAAATAGGTTTCTACTTTTAATATAATTATCCAAAAATTATTTGTTGTAGAGTTCTATTCTTTTTTAAAACTGTACTTTACTATTACTATGCTCCATGAGAAATTTGAGCTCTAGGATCATCGCTAAATTTAGACTAGTTTTTGATCATCATTACTAATTTAGCATAATACTCGACCATCATATCTAAATTTGGCAACCAAAATCGCGTTTGAAATTTGAGTATGTGGCGCAGCAATAGGAGGTCTTTAGACCGAGCCAACCATACCTTGTTTCTATTATCTACGAAATATACATATAAATATATTTATTATATACACAAATTTAACAAATTTATTAATTTAATAATAATTATAGACTACCTTGTTCCTATATCCACATCTAATAAAAGGAATAAATAAATAAATATATTATACAAAACTATTAATTTAACAATAATTATAGAATGACTACCTTCTACTATCCATCATTTATTCATCTAATAATAAGAAATAGATATACAAAATAAATATTATTCAAAACTATTAATTTAACAATAATTATAGAATGAATACCTTGTTGCATCTTCCTTCAGCTTTTCCTTTAGTAGTGTTTAAAAGTTTAGTTCTTTACAAAGTGTGCATTTGAAATTTTTCACTATTATACCTTGAAAATTTTTTAAAAGATAACAAGTTCATCCACCCAACTCCCTAGCTTCTGCTTTATTTTTACTTGATTTTCATACTTTGGAGCCCAATTTCATTGTAAACTACACATCTGCCATGTAATACCATATTGGAAATGCCAGTGCTAAGTATGTCAAATTTGCAGATGTCAATGGATGCAGCTGAAATTAAGTTAATATTAAAAAAGTGTTAAAAAAAATATAATCTGTAAAGTTTAGTGTTCCATGTCACAATCCAAAAAAGGAAACAAAATGGTTGTAAAGATGGTTGCAACCAGTGGTTGCAATCATTTTTATATGATGCAAAGGTGGTAGCAACCATCATCAAAAGTTGCAGCCAGTATTCTTAGTAAAGTTATCTCTTAAGGGTAGAGTTCAGTTACATGGTACATCTAAGGTTGCTTGCTGAAACCTCTTAATGACTGCCGAAACTCTAATAAACAATTAGTGTGTAACCTGCTGAAACTCTGCTGAAACTCTAACAAACAATTATTGTGTTACCTGCTGAAACTCTGCCGATTGATTTCCAGAGGAGTTTTGGCAAGCAACCATAGGTACATCATATGGCAAAAAAATCACACCACCTCAATTTTAAGGTTTTGAACAAATAAAACTTCCTGTAAAATTGCAAAACTTAAATGAAACTTTGTATATACAGTCCCCAGCAAAAGTAATGGCGGTACAATGAAACATTATTTTTGCTAAGTTTTTATTAAGTAAATCGATCTTTTTATATTAAATAAA